ATTCTGAAGAGCTGGAGGGTTGGAGAGCAGAGACCCCTTCAAGGGTACATCTCTCTTTCTCCCACACTCCACAATCAAGCTCATGTGCTCTCTATCTTAAAAAAGCTAGATTTGATGAGATAACTAACATTCTAAAGTACAAACTTATTTTTAGATGAACAGCACTTTGACATATTGTATGTTATCAGTATCAGAAACGCTTGAGTTTATCATTTCTGAATTTGAGTAGAAAATTACTGTTTTAGTCAAAATAGGCTTTTCAAAATTCTTTACATTTTGAATCTCGCTTAAAGAAGAACTAGGAGAGTTGAGTGATTGATTTGGTTGAAAATGTCAAGTCTGAAAGAATTGAAAGCATTAATCACTACATCAGCATGAATCATTTCTGCTGCCTCAAGTTGGAGAAGAAACGTGGCACTGGAAGGTACCCAGTGTGGAGCTTAGGCCAGGGACAGTTCACAGTATATTTTCGGTGGCTGTTACTTTAAATTTGTTTAGCTGATTAGAGAAACTGAAATTCTGCTTTTCCTTTAGGTACTCTTCTGTTGCTTCTGCTCAGGGTGCCCTCACAATTCCTGTACAGATTGGAAAGTAACTTTCTAAATCCTTGTGTCCCTGAAGCAAATATCTAGCCTATTTGGTAGTCTTTAAAATTTCTTCTACTGCTGTTATTAGGAGAAAGCAAGAGATAACAGCTATGAGTTTCCTCAGGGTCTCAAATGTTCCATGGAAGTGACCTTTCCTGCCTGCTGACTACTCTCCACCACAGTCCAACCCCAACATTGCCGGCCATACGTATTTTACCTGAGAGTGTTGGGTTTCGTTTTTTCCCTTTATTGGAAATGTACCTTCCTCCACATCCACGAGACTCATTCCTCTGCTGCTTTCAAGTTTCTCCTCTAGTTTTAGCTGTCCAAGTACGCAGCTGTGACCACCCTATTCAACACTATAAGAACACTCTCAATTCCCTTTGCTCTTACTTCTCTCCTGCATCTTCAACTTAAGGAACTACATAATTTGCTTCTTTCTTCTGTTGATTACCTATCTCTACTCTCTACAATGTTGAAGCTCCACTAGAGCTACAATCTTTGTTCTGCTCACTAATGTATCGCACGCTCTCCTCTCTTGGAACAGTGTGAAGTGAATAGTAAATAAATGTTTATTAAATGATAAGTGGTTTTCATCATTTATATGAGAGTGAAATATCTCAAAAGAGAATACAAGGCTTATATGTTACATATGTACGTAAAATTGTCAACACGAAGCAAACTTGTCTATAAAGTTACCAGCTAGGAAATCCAACACCCAAAAGATCAGTATACTCCTCACCCTCCTATGACCAGTAATAGAAGTCCAGTAATAATTCTAATTACTACTGTTGTTTTAAGTTTTGCATTTTTAATTCAAAAGTGACATATAGATTATTGACTATCTCCCTCTGGTAAAACAATATTAAATCAAAAATAAATTAGGGATCATTCCAGTGTGTACCTGTCTGTTGCTTCCTCTGCCGTGACAAGGAAATTCTCTTGAAATAAGCTGCGGTACACCCAGAGCGAGTGGTTCAGCTTATTTACAAAACACATCAGACTGGGTTTGCCTATATACCATAGTTTGCTAGTTTAGAGACAAATAGAGTAATTATACTCAAGTGTAACTTACACAGAATTTAGTGATCACTGAGTTGTGAACTATACAATGAGTATTTAAGAATGTAATCCTTGGGGTCAGCAGGTGCCTAGGCTCCTGTTCACTTGACATTCTTTAAGAGACTAGTAAGATGTGACTTAATAGTTCATGCGACTTGCATCTAAATTAAAAGTAGCATTGCAGCTAGTTGAATGGATGGTTTTCTAGTGTGAAAGAATAAATGAAGTATGGAGAGGTTAATTGTTGCAATAAAGATATGTGGAAAAAAATCATCTGGCATTTTATCATATCATTGTATATTGATTTGTGCCTCAGAAAAATTCGATGTGCTTTCTTGCAGCTGTGATTCTCAGTTTGCTTCAAGTTAAATAGGATGGCTTTCAGAAAGGACCTAGCATGGAGGTATCCTTTGAAGGCAGTAGATATCTTCTTCTTATTGCCTGTCCAACCCTCAGGACATTGAGGCTTCTGTAATTATTGATTGAATGCATAGCCTCAAAGTGCATAAGCCAAAATAAATTGATACATAAAGAGTCTTCAAAAAGTCCATGCAAAAAGTCCATGTATTATAAAAACAAAAACAAAATCACTCTTTATGGAATTAATTTTTTTGTGTGTGTGCTCTGAAATAAACTTGTACTAACTTGTTATAACATGTCTGAACAAAATCTAGTTTGATCTTGAACTTGATGGAGAGTTGCAAATGTTGCAAATAAAGTATATTTAAAAAATTTTTATCTTTCAATTCTGTTTTCCACGAACTTCTTAAAGTTATCTATTGATGCCTGTATTAAGAAACATACTCATGGAAAAGAAAGGCATGTCACATGCTAAAACATCCATCAGTTGACATGCTGTTTATATCAGCAGACTTCAGAAAGTCTGGGGGAAAATAGAAATAAAGTATGAGTTTATTTTTGCTTGAAAAAAAATCTGAAATCGTGCATAGTTTTTTTTTTTATAATATCCCTTTTAAATAAACTTTTTGAAGACTTTATAGAAAATTAGTTGAAGGGCTTTTTAATTAAAGTTGCCATTGTTGAGTCAAGTTATTGATATTTTTCAACAATACAAACCTCCTTGGCGAAATTGGTATTTTTGTAACTGCCTTGTTTTTCTGATGTAAACACAAACAGAAAGTCTAACCCGGCCTGTATCTTCTCAAACCAGATATTTTTCTCAGCCTGTGTTAAGTATGAAAACTACCTTTATTAACGAAGTCTATTGAATGGTAGCTGTGTCTGAAGATACTGTCACTGAATAGCAAGCAATTAAAAGGTAGATTAGAAATTTGAAATGGAAAATATGAATGCTCACAATTTTGTGATGAAATCACTCATGTTTTATGATTATGTATTTAATCAGGATTCTAAAATCATAGATCAACAATTATTATTATGGTAATGATATCAACAAACTCAAAAATTGTATTAAAGGAATGATTTAATCACATTTTAATAGGAAAAACATTCTAATAAAAATCCATCCTGACAGAAGTATTTTTAGCAATTAATTTTTTTGGGCAAATGGAAGTAAAAGTACAGCTTAACTTTTCATAGATATTGTTTACACTGTAATTATTTCAACTTAAGACCAGTGAACCAACAGCGTGTCTGGACACCTGGGTGAGAACAGTACGTGATGGGCCCTCACCAGGGAATCACCCTATACTGGTAGGTAAAGGCATATATAAGAGAAATATTCAGTAAGACCCCAGGAGAGGCAGAACCAGATCATTCTGAGGTTCAAAATAGATACAGGGCACTGATAATTAGGCCACATGGAAATACAGTTCATCAGGTGGCTAACATTTCATCAATATGATATTATCTCATCAAATCTAGCTTTTTTATGATAGAGAGCACATGAGCTTGCGTGTGTGTTAGCAGGGCTTTATAGATGCAGATGAACATGCTAAAAAATGTTTCATGTCAATTTTTTTTTCTAACAGATTTACTTATTTCACATGTTCCTCTAGAAACAAAATTCTGTCTTCAAATGAATCTCCTGTGGGATTCCTTTTTTTAAAAATTAATTAATGACTTTGGAGGAGTGTGTTCTTTAAAACTGGTTGAAGTGCACTAGTTTCAGTTGAGAAAGGTGGGAAGTTTCAAGATCTGGATTCTCCATCTCCAATTCTTTCACTATTTGACACCACTAGCTCCTTTTATCCACCTCTCTCTGACTATAGTTTGAAGCAGCACATTTTGTTTTATAATGTAACCATTAGAGAGCATAATGACTATTACTTTAGTAACAGAAATTGTATAAAGTAAAGCTGAAAGGAGTCATGCCGGCTTGTAGGAATCTGTGTCGCTAAAGCCCGCAGTTCAGCACTTTCAAGGAGGAGGAAAGGAATTAAGAACACCAGAGCCCTATTAGAAGCTCCAGAAAGGCATGGTGCTTTTTGTATTAGCAAAAGGGGACTTTTAAAAATTAGTAAGACCGATGTAGAATGCGAGGTAATTGTAGGGGAAGGTCAGTAGGAAATGGGAGAGCAATAGTAACTTGGGGCTGTATTTTAAAGTTCTGAAATGCGTGATTAGACAGGCTGAACCCTCCACCACCAAGGGGCTGGCATTCACGGCTGGCTGTGTGCACACTCTAACATGTGTGCACGCCGACTGTAATGGGATACCGGATAGAGTGTGGGAAGAGGATGGGAGGAGGAGGAGAGTCTGAGGAAAAACATCAAGGAGAAAAATAGAGAGGCAAGACATTGATGGGACATGGAGGTGGGTTATTATTTGTTGATGATAATGTGTATAGTGTGGTCGACTGGACTGTGTGAAATGTATTCATGTTGGAACAGTCACTTTGTAAGCTAAGTGGTGTATAAGATTGAATGTATAAAAGAAATCAAAATAAAATATAAAAAAGAAGAGGTCTTTATACTTAATTTGGCTAATAATAAAGAGTTTTAGAATTTGCTTCCAAACTTGGGAATGGTATGATTGTCACAGAACTTTAAGGAAACTAATCTTGCACTGTTTTGTAAAAGGATGCAAATTCCAAAAGCATGAATGTAGAACGTGCCAAACTCGATGGTCTGTTTAGGAAAAACCTAGGTTTGTAATTTGTTTAGAAAGGAGAGGGCAAAGCAAAATGCCCCACAGTTTTTTCCCAGTGGCCAGAAGAATTGTTGTACCAGGACAGAAATAGGAAGGTCATGTTTGTGGTGACTGGACAGGGTGAGAGAGAGACTTAGGACTCTACTAGACAGGGCAAGAGAGAGACTTGGGACGTCCAAACCTCGTGAGTTACTACGCATAATTTCATCATACTAAATGGACTTTTAGCTGTGACTCCTCCAATGTTTTATTTTTCTTTGTCTTTTTTCCCTCTTTCAGGCTGAAGTCATTGATGTGAGATACGGAACTGCAGATGATCTAAAAAGGATTAAAAAGATGAAAAATGTAACAAATCAGATTGCGCTGCTGAAATTAGGAAAATTACCACTACTTTATAAGGTAGGTCCAATGACTATAATTCAGTGGTGGGGTGAATATTTTCCTTTTTTTTTTTTTTTTATTAATAACAATTTTTGAGTATGGAGTGTGTGTGTATGTGTGTAACAGAGAGAAAGGGACGGAGAGAGGAAAACAGAGTGAGGGAGGAGGAGGAGAGTCTGAGGAAAAACATCAAGGAGAAAAATAGAGAGGCAAGACATTGATGGGACATGGAGGTGGGTTATTATTTGTTGATGATAATGTGTATAGTGTGGTCGACTGGACTGTGTGAAATGTATTCATGTTGGAACAGTCACTTTGTAAGCTAAGTGGTGTATAAGATTGAATGTATAAAAGAAATCAAAATAAAATATAAAAAAGAAGAGGTCTTTATACTTAATTTGGCTAATAATAAAGAGTTTTAGAATTTGCTTCCAAACTTGGGAATGGTATGATTGTCACAGAACTTTAAGGAAACTAATCTTGCACTGTTTTGTAAAAGGATGCAAATTCCAAAAGCATGAATGTAGAACGTGCCAAACTCGATGGTCTGTTTAGGAAAAACCTAGGTTTGTAATTTGTTTAGAAAGGAGAGGGCAAAGCAAAATGCCCCACAGTTTTTTCCCAGTGGCCAGAAGAATTGTTGTACCAGGACAGAAATAGGAAGGTCATGTTTGTGGTGACTGGACAGGGTGAGAGAGAGACTTAGGACTCTACTAGACAGGGCAAGAGAGAGACTTGGGACGTCCAAACCTCGTGAGTTACTACGCATAATTTCATCATACTAAATGGACTTTTAGCTGTGACTCCTCCAATGTTTTATTTTTCTTTGTCTTTTTTCCCTCTTTCAGGCTGAAGTCATTGATGTGAGATACGGAACTGCAGATGATCTAAAAAGGATTAAAAAGATGAAAAATGTAACAAATCAGATTGCGCTGCTGAAATTAGGAAAATTACCACTACTTTATAAGGTAGGTCCAATGACTATAATTCAGTGGTGGGGTGAATATTTTCCTTTTTTTTTTTTTTGAATTACAAGACTTTTTGAGTATGGAGTGTGTGTGTATGTGTGTAACAGAGAGAAAGGGACGGAGAGAGGAAAACAGAGTGAGAGAGGGGAGATGCACAAAGAGGCGGAGTGTCATGGGCAGATAACTTTCCCCAAATAGGACGTTCTAAATTAAAATATTTAAGAAAAAGGAATTGATGTCCTTATTTCTTAAGCAAAGTATTGATAGATTGTGGGATCTTGATAAAGTTGACTTATTCTTTCTTATAATAACTATCTAGGATGCTAAAAAAAGGACTGTCCTCTTATGACAGACGTGAAACTGGTAATCTACTATCAAAACTGAATAATTATCGCGTGCTTTATGTGAGGCTAGTATCAGGCTGATTTACACTCCTTACTGGTTGATTTTGTCAACTGTATACTTGGTGCTTACTGACTGCTCAAAAAATTAATTAAAAGATAATATGCGGAGGAGAAGAAAAGTTTGATTTATTTTATTTAAATGCAAGTTTATTAGCACTTATCCACTAGGTTCATTTACATAATTAAAGCAACTCAATCTAAGTGTCTGATAATGAACCACAGCCATACAGCCAGGGCTACTCATGCTTACTTCTTCTGTTAGAAAGAACGGTCAATGTAGTTATGTTACAGAAATGCCCTGGTTCTAAGAGGTGGTAGATTTCTCTTCTCCAACCCTAAATGAGTTTTGCTAATTCCTAGGTCCAGAAATCTTTTCAGAAATGTGTTGGCACACTTTGAGTATACAAGCGAACATCCTATGCCTCTTCGCCCTCCTCATCTTTCAAGAGTACCATTATACTTAAATCAGTGTCTGATAGTTGATAAATGGTCAGACTTTGAAATTATAATGCACAGTGTCATTAATTTTTTGCTCTATAGCTTTTAAATTTATATTTAACTTAAAATGAATACTTTTTAATATTTGTTTTTTCATGAGAAAGAGAGATGCCTTTGACAGGGTTTCACCATGCCACAGTCTGCTCCCCAACCTCTCAGCCAGCCTGGATCACAGGCCCCTGCGAGTGCACCTGGCTTGTTCAGATCAACCTGGGGCCCAGTCCCAGGCCTCCCGTGTGGCTCCAGTACTGCCTGTACCAGCACATGAGGCCAATATTCCCATTTTGATTTAGCGATTCCTGTGCAACCAGTGTATTCTAAGGGGAGGGAAAACAGCGATGTTAAACACAGGGATAGCCAATGATGTGACCAAGTGTTAGAAATGATATACGGGACTAGTGGCATGTTCAAAATTATGTTGCACTTGTTCAGCTGAATATGCTACGACCACAACGCTGTAAGGGAGTGGAAAGTCCTCGTAAGTTAAACAACTGAGTCCTAGCAGCATGCAGGGCATGACAAACTGGGGGTTGACTCTGACTGAGAACCCTAAAGGTGAGGGCTGGGCTCACTAAGCATTTACCAAATGAGTGCAGAAGGAATGTCTGTGCTGTGATTGACCTGCATCTCCAGAGTTGGGAGAAAACATACATGTGTATTTCCCACAGACCAGACAGGGCAAATGTGACAGAAAGCCAGTGCGGTTGGCCTTCATCCTGTCTCGGGGTTTCAACTCGAGGTGATGCATGGGTCAGTAACCAGCCAGGTGAGAGTTACATGTGTCCTGACCAAGGAAATTGCAATAGAGGCTGCTTCAGTTAAGTCACTAAGTGCCCAGAGGCTTAAGGTCAGCTTTAAATGCACGTGAGTTCCAGGGGGACTGTGACGCTGTCGTGGGATAGGCACAGTAAAGTTTAAAAAATCCTACCACTGAGTCCCAAATAACTGAGCCCTCTCCAACCCCAGAGAGGTAAGGACATAGCACATGAGGGAAGAAGGAAATGCACCATGACGGTAGACCTGAGCTGGTGGGGGGTGAGGACTGGACATTTTAAATCAAGGGTGTAGCTGTCATCATGATGCCACATTAGGTGTTCTAGATTTACTCATCATTCCTTCAAGACTGATGACTCAAACTGATCGTAGGACTACCAACAATCAGAAGAATAATGGAACACTCCAAATTTTTATCTAGTTGCTTGAGGAAGAATGTTTCTCCCTAAATTTTTTTTAAGTTTATTTTTTTATTTCTTCCATTAGTGAGAGAGAAACAGCACCCAAGCAGGCTTCTGAGCCCAAGCCCTGTCCTTGTCCTTTGGCCAGCCCCAGATCACAGGCAAGGGCACGCCCAGCACAGCAGGGAGGTCTCTGGGCCTGAGCAGGATCCGCCCTGCCTGGGGCCGCCTCTCAGTGTGCTGTCCTGGTTGTCTCCCTGCTCAGCCACCACCTGGCCCTGCTCTCCTTGCATATTTGTAAAAGGGTAGTGGGGAGCAAAGCAACATAGTTTCTGATACGTTACGTGAATCTTATGTGTTCAGCATACTAGTGACTGGAGTATTATATGTGAAAGGGGTTGATTATGCAATTGCATAGAGGGAATTACGGATGATCTGTACTTTTCCTTCATTTTCCTACATTTCTAAATATTCTTTAATAGATGTTTGTGTATGTGTTGTGTGTATGTATATATATTTATATATTTATATTTATGTATGTATATAGGTATGTGTATAAATATATATATATATATATGTATATGT